TTCGTCGAAAAGCGAGTGAGCATTGTGCTACTGAGCATGCTCACTCAATTCCACGTCACATTGAAGCTGTCTGTGCGATTAGTGATAGCAAATTCAGATTCGCTCGTAATCTCGTTGTTAACAAGGAGTCATGTTGTATTGTGGACATTCCTGGCGAGGAAGATGCCTCAACGCATATCTTTAACGTTAAGGTACGACATTTTCGGAGACAACAGGCATTCAGAGTCTCGCATACAACGAACTACTCGGACTTTGGGGTCTACAGCTTGTCACATTTTGAGAGTAAGAGTTCATTATCTTGCAAGAGGGAGCTCGATGAATTAGATAGAGGTTGCATGACTGTCATTGACATCCCGCGCGGTGAAGCAGAACATATTCGCATTTCAACCCTCAGAACCTCACGTAAAAGAAAGCATGCAGAAGAAGCTGCAGTGTTTGTCAAGAAGCTAGCGTTAGAAGATAGGGTTGATTTGTTTCTTACGGAGAAAAGCTTCTTCAGTGATGAGAGTCGTACGGAGGTACTATACATCAAAGATCCAAGATTGCCGGAGCAATGTTGCAACACATTTATGGAAGTGTCCCGAAAATGGAGAAGTTTTGCGCATTTTCATATGCCTAGTCTTCCTTTTTCTTCTTTCTTGACCACTCAGTTTGCTACATTGTTACAACGAGTGTTTGCTGGAGCCCTTGATTGCGGGACTATCACCGAAAAAGATCTTCATCGGTTACTTGAAAATAGTGATGGACGATACGACATTGATGTACTCACAAATCCCCATAAAGTGCTGACAACTGAATCTGTCTTACCTGGTCCTCTGTGGGATAGGCTGATGAAATTGCGAGTGCAACGGAATTCTACTGAAATTTTGAATCGCAAACTGCTGTCTCCTTTGTACTTATTTCTTGGTATGCCACTTTTACCGCGTATTGGAAGGCCTTGGAGAAAATGGCTCAAGCCGTTGGAACCAACCTCAGATTCCAAAATTGGATGGCAACTTGCATTGTGTATGAGAATTCCAGATATTGTAGGAGTTGATGACATGGACTGCAAGTTACAGGCAATCAAAATGTGGTGGACTGTGATGATGTTAAGAGGCACAGTCCCCTGGTCCGTTTATCCATGCTTCTCTCGAAGACAGCTGTTTGTTTTGGTCCGTTTGCTGGAATTTCTACAAAACGTAGATAGGCCGCCATTTTCTCTTTATCCACCTAAAGCCTTCTTCAAGGCAGTTAAGAAGATCTTGCGTCATCCCCGCACTCAACTTATTCCCAAGGATGTCTACCATCCTGACGTGACTATCATGGCTACATTGCTTAAAATGAAGCCGAACAGGGTGTTTCAGGTGGATCGATCACTTCCCGAACTACTTTCGCACTGGTTAGACGATATGAATAATATTGATGCATACTTAGCAGCTGATGTGGACATTGTTCCTATTCCTCAGTCTAAGTTTCTGACAATGACTGAATGGGCATGGGTTAATTACAGTCAGGGTTGCGTTCCCGATGGGATTGAGTACGATCGTTATGCAAGCCTTGAGGAAACAATCTATAAACTAG